AACAAAAGGACACGGATTGGTGATGTGGACGCTGTACTGTCTGTTGTGGTGAAGAGAGAGCTGAGTGTAAAAGCAAAGCTCTCAATTTACCGGTCGATCTAGGTCCCTACCGTCACCTATGGTCACAAGCTGTGGGTAGTGACCGAAAGAACGAGATCTCAGATACAAGCGGCAGAAATGAGCTTCCTCCGAAGGGTGGCTGGCCTCTCCCTTAGAGATAGGGTGAGAAGTTTGGCCATCCGGGAGGGCCTCAGAGTAGAGTCGCTGTTCCTTCACATCAAAAGAAGCCAGTTGAGATGGACAAGGATGCCTCCTGGGCGCCTCCAGGGTGAGGTGTTCCAGGAGTGTCCTGGTGGGACATGCCTGGCATGTCACCCAGGTATGTCCCACCAGGAGGAGGCCCCGGGCAGACCCAAGACACGCTGGAGAGATTAGATTTAGATTAGATTAGATTAGATTTCCTGGCTGGCCTTGGTGTTCCCCCGGACAAGCGGGAGGAGGTGGCTGGGGAGAGGAAGGTCTGGGTTTCTCTGCTTGGGCTGCTGCCCCCGCAACCCAACGATGGATGGATGGATGCTTGCATGCTTGCTTTTTTGCCATTGAAAACAACGGACTCAAATTAATTACCTAACCTCAATCCAGGAATAAAATATTTACTCAAACTCAGACATGATAAAATATGGACATGGACACAGTGGTTTGAAACGAGAACCCGGTGCAGTGCAAGGTTCTTAAACCTGCATTTTTTATAATGGCCAGCAATCAGCATTTCCTATGGTTGCAAAGAGTTCCACTGCTACAGAAGTCTGTGGGGCCAAAAAGATTACGGTTCCACGGTTACAGTTCCCCTTCTACACTGTATGCAGCTGTGTGTGCCGCTGTTCTTTCATGGAAGGGGGAATGTTTGGTTGTTTTACAGTTATTATATGCTTCTAGTCATTTTTTTTTTTTACATATGACATTTTCATCTCTTAATAATTAAAGTTGAAAGCTTTTTACCATCACTTCAACATGCTTCCCATTATAAATAAAGAAACAATATTTTGGTGTTGCTTTTTTTTTGTTTTTGTTTCTTTGTTTTTACATTTAACATATTCATTGCTTGAAAAATAAACTCACCCTGAAGATCAAGAATGTCCATCATGGAGAAGAAGAAAGGTGGATGCCAGAATCAGGGAAGCCTTGAAGGATGTTAGTTGGCTAACAGAGTTACAAATTTAATTTCAAAAGACTTGATAAAAGTGTGTTATTGTGCAAACTGTGCAAAAAGGAGCACCTCAACCTTAAGGTACCATCTAAATGCAAAAAATGTTGCAGCAAGCACAGAAACTGTGGGAGCTGTTAGCGCTAGCAGTCCTAGTTGAGTACCAACAAAAGGTGTCGGCAGCTACTACAACAGCAACTACACCAGGAGCAAACAAGACTGGGGCAACAGAATTAGCCACCCATATAGGATGTTTCGACACGGTGGAATTCAACACTGGATATGGCTTCTCATCCACTAAAGAATCAAGAGGCTGTTTTTGCTGCTTTAGACAAAAAAAGCACAAGCTAGTCATTTTAACTCGATCAGAGCTGGGAAAACTCCAAAAGCTGGTGAATGTCCTTGAGCCATGCAGGTAAATAAAACAATTTTTAACTTATTGTTACTGTTTCTTCAAAACGTCTGTAGTTGACAGTTATTGTGTAGATTAATAACTGCTTTCTTGAACTGTCTACTACGGGTTTGTGGCCGAGCTTTTGGAGGTGAGAGACATGTCTCATGTTCAGTGGTTTTACCTGCTTTCTGCCACCTGCATCACACCATGGAGGTCTCCAATGATGACTCAAACTACATGGTAAAATTTAAGACTGCCTTTACGAAGGACCTATCCCAACATGTAGCTACACTCAACCGTCAGCGGCTCAAGATAGCTACTGTGCTTGACCCACGCTTTAAGAATTTAAAGTGCCTTGTAAGGGGAGAGTGAGAAGAGGTTTGGAGCAGCCTAGAGGCCCTGCTGCAGGAACAGTATAAAAATGCCACCACAAAGGAGCCAGCAAAGACAAAGAGCCTCCTCCTCTCTTCATTGTCTTCAGATTCTGATTCCGATGAGGAAGCCCTGTGTAACAGGGCCCTGAGTTTGTACAGAGCAGAATCCACCAACAGTGAGACAGACTGCCGGCTGCAGTGGTGGTTGAGCAGGGACACACCCACAGCTGTCTGTCCTGGCCCGCAAGTATCTGATTAGTCCTGCCATTTCTGTCTAATGTGAGAGACTTTTCTCACTTGCAGGTCACATAGTAACAAAAAAGAGAGCTGTCTTGAGCTTTGAAAATGTAAACAGGCTCGTTTGTGTAAGTAACTGGCTGAAAGAGACAGACGGTAAATAAGCATGGAGGTATTGTGAGTCCAATGGGTTTGTTATTTTTTGCACTAAAATGTTTGATGATCACACTGTTTTATCCTAATGTACAAATTAATTTTTGCTAAGGTTTTATTATTATTATTTAATGACAGCCAATGTGAAAACAGCTCCGGTTGTTAAAATAAATGCAAAGCTTTGATTTTCTTTATTCTTCCCGCAGTGGCGGTGTTACTTCCGGAAAGTCTCTGTTTTAAGTGCACTCATAGATCGATCATAGACTCACAGATCAATAGGCAGCATCAGTCTCGTTTAGGTTGCAGTGTCTCCACAGTGTACGCATCCGCCTATCATAGCGAAAGATCCCCGGCTCGAGGTAAGTCATATCCTCTTGGATTTGCGTCAGAAATGAAATTTACAAAA